TAAGGTACTCATTCACGTAAATGAAAAAAAATATTGATATTGAAGTACCTTAAGTGGTACAAAATTTTAGAAGGTGCTCCTGGGACAGTTGTATAGATATAAAAAGATATTGATATAAATATTAATATAAACTCTTTGAATAGCATGTTAAATGTTTATATTGATTTAAATATTAATATAAAACTTAACTGGCATGCGTATTGTTTTTATTTCTTGTATTGATTTAGTTTAGAAGAATGAGTATTCACTAGTTTGTTTAGCTCGCATTTGTTTTAAACTAACTGTTCAATTTAATTTAAATGATTAAAAGATGAGTGATAGATGAAAAAAATTTCATTGAAGAGGTGGACAATCATAAACAATTTAAAATTAAATATATTGCTTTAATTTATATTGATTAGTCGCTCTTTCATCTGTTAAAAACAAGTCATAAAAAATGAATGACAATTTTTATTTACACCGTCGGACTGTTTGTACCGATATTAGTTAATTACAAGCCCCGAATCGGGTCGTGACATATATATATATATATATATGTATATATATATAAATTATTGTCGTGCTCAAGCAAAACGCTTGCACACTCATTTGAGAACCAATAAGAAGTCTACGGGAAATAAAATTTATTTTGTGCAGAAGTTGTGTGCTCCAATGCTTGTCATAGGTTAGGAGCCTTATGACACATTTCTTTATTTTTCTTTTATAATTGTGTGTGTGTGTGCGTGCGTGTAAACCTCTCCAAGCCTTCTCCACTTCCATGTTCCTTCTTAATGCTCTCTCACTCTTTATTTCTCTCAATCATCTCATTACTCCCGGTCGTGGCCCGTTATTCTTGTCCCATGCACCGTCCCTCTGGACTTCCACTGTTTGTACTTTTTTGTATAGTTGTGGTTGTAGCAGTTCAGTATAACGCTCTATCTATGTTGCTCATGTTAACCCTTCCCATCTAGTTCTTGTCCTTCACCATATGGGCTAGCTCTATCGTCTCCCTCGATCCCCAAAGTCAAAAATCAAAGTGTTGCCTGTATCTCGAGTTTCAAGCCCTTCATGAAATTCCCATACAATCTTGCTTTAGAAATCCCCCTCCGCCGCCCCGACAATAGCTCGATTCTCTCCCTATATTCCATCACAGTCCCCTCCTAAGTCAGGCATAGAATTGTTCGTTTAGGTCTCCTTTCCAAATGGCTCGAAAGTATTCCAACAAACAATCCTTAATTTCTCCCATGAACGGATTGGGTGTTTAACCTCCCTCCACTAAAACCAGACTAGGACTTTCCCCTCCAAACATAACCTGCCGCCATGAGTTTCTTCTCCTCATCGAGCCCATTCACCTGAAATATCACTCTACCCAATACACCACCCATATGCGCCTTCCCCCACGAAGATCAACATCCTTAACTTTGTAACCCTACCATCTCTACCCCAATTTCCTCTCCCTATGTTGTTTCAAACCATGTATCGAGGGCAAAACTCACACCTTCGATCATAGCCATATTTATTCCCTAATTCTCTCCTTTCTTCTTCGTGCTACTTCATACCTCTTGCACAATCACTTTTCCATATTTCAGCTCAACCTCCTCCACAAAAATATCTAACCCAACCCCAATCGGAGCTCTGGGAGTGGTTTCTTCATGTGGGGTGAGTTTCTCCTCGTATTCCTCTCATTCGATCACCACCTCTTTTGATCTGGTCACGGAATCTCCGGTTAACACTTGATCATGATTTGTGAATTGAGCCGCCGGTGGTGTTTTGGATTGCATCTCGATAAGTTTCTTCAACATCTCCTTCATACTCAGGAATCGGCCCTCAAATCGATTTTTCATGGCAGAAAGTTTTCCTTCTATGATGGAGAACCTTTCCTCCAACCCATATCTGATTTGATTTATCTCTTCCTCCAATTTCTTCGACAAATCATCAATCTTCTTTGTTGTCATTACTTCCAGAAAAACTATTGATCTCAAAAGCAAATAACTATGCCTGAAATTTCATCATCTCCTCTCATGTAGCACATATCGAACATGTATAGTCAGATTCGATCAAATGAAGACTTATCTTATAGCCACAATCCCATCGTAAACTTCCCAGCTAGTTGAAACGCCAATGTAGCACTTGATTAGGGGTACTGTACGACGCAATCCCGTCGATGCTGCCTAGTTGGCTCTTTATGCAACCATATCACAAAGATCTTTACGAAGGGGCGATCCATGGAAAAAGATGGGAGTTTTGCGTCTCTATTTGTTGTGATCCCAACGGCCTTCTCAGTGGCTCTAATCATGATATGCAATCAGGAGATCGCAATCCCGCGTTGTGTCCCTTCTAGCTCCAACTGTGATGCCTTGGATGCTTTCCCGCAAGCTCTGATCATGACTAGATCACGTGGACAGAGTGAAAGGAGGCGAAAGATAAAGTTTCGGGTGTCTGCACGTTGATCCCTACTGCAGTGTCCCAGACTCGTCGCCTTGCACACAATCCTTCGCGTCTCAATAAGCAATCCTTAGCGTCCACTTGCACGTGATTGTATGCAAATTTTGGGTCTCGATAGGCCACGATTCTTCCAGCCAGGTCAAGTCACTAAATTGTCTATATGTCGTGATCCTTCTCCATGTAGCAATCCGTGCCCAATAAAATCATAATTGACCTGCTCTTCTACAATGTCGTCGTTGCCTTCCCCGCAAGCGATCCCGAGCACTATTTCTCAAGAATTTTGCTCTGATGTCAATTTGATAAGATCCCACGCTAAAATCAGCATGTTTTTCCACAAATTAGGGCAAACACAACATTTCTTAAAAAATTCAAGCAACTCAACAAGAATACAAAGATAAACATCTACATTTCGAGAGGTAGGTGAACGCTCCCAATTCCTACAATTCAAGTGGTAAGAAATCTCTCTCAAATCCTGAACCTAAGAAGACTCACAACTCAATCTCATGCAAAAACCTAACCCTAAACATAATAGGTCTATTTATACCCAACAATAATAATAATAATAAAAGACTAAATTGTCCTTAGGTGTACAAAAGACAAAATTAATCTCGGGCTAGGTGCTAACGTAACAGCTTTATGGAAGACATTGTAAATGAACCACAAGGTGTGACTAACAGTCGGTTTCATCCCTAGAGATATACCATCTAAAAAGCCCATCAAACATTGGCAAGAAAGAAAATCTGTCCTCCTAGTGGCTATCAAAGTGGTCAACCCTATGAAGAGTCCTCTCATCCTCTAAAAGAGGGATGCTCTTCCAATAAAATCCCATAATGCATCGTTTATCCAAGTAAAAAATGGAAGAAAATATTAGCAAAGTTATTTCACTGATGAAATTGTGATGTCTCAATCAAAACCAGATATTTATTGGAGGCATCATTTTGAAGTTGAAACCAAAAAACCAAGTGATGAAAAAAAAAAAACAATGCAAATCGAGGTGGTCTACATGATTGAGCATACAAATAGCCAACATGAAGTTCATGTCTCCCGACACAAAATATAGAGAATGTTTCCACTCTTCTTCAAAAAGAACAACTTCAAAGTCAATAAGAACAATTTGAAAGCTACGGTTCAATGATATCTAATAATTTGTCTAGACGTTAACAAGATTTAGTTCATTTTTCTTCATAGAAGTTCCTCCTCACACGTTACCTACTATATTATAGCAAATTCATGACAAAGACTTCAAATAAGTGGTAGTGCATCAACCAAGCATCTATATCTCGCTTATACTGCTCATCACACTGAATATATTTCAGGAGCTACTTTTGTTTAATAAATAAATTATCATGAAAGATAAAACATGCATAACTATAAAGCATTTTCATCAGTTTTGGAAGTTTTTTAAGTTCTATGATTTGGTTTATATATCAGTCCAAAAATTTTGCTCCCAATACAATTGCCTTCCAGAATAATAAAATGTACATCTAACGTTAGATGGTCAAATGTGAATATACGTGATTTACCTCCTAGCATTAGAACAGCTCCTCCTTTGATGGCTTAATAAGTTTATATTTTAATCACCCCCCAACATCATCATTATTGTTCTTAACTTCTATTTAGCTATTCTAAAATGTGCTCAGTGCACTTCAAGCATCAAGGATTTTCGTTCTCTATTATTTGATTGTAATTACTAAACTTCATGATAAAAAAAATTGGAGTTATTTCATTACTATTATAAACTAACTTTTTTCTCATATATTTGGAGACTATTTGAAATTACTTATGTTCTAGTTTTGTTTCTGCTATTTATTCTGTTTTAAAAAGACCTTTGTAATTTATTTTCATATGATTTTATTTTTATTTATAAATCAGCCTATTTTTAAAATATTATAAATAACTTTTTGGTGCTTTAGTGTTTTAAAAATTGATTAAATATGAATTACCATACCAAACATATTTTATTTCAAATCACAACATAAGAAATAAACAAAAATAAAAAATAAAAGTGATACCAAACAACCCATTAGTTTTAAAGTTCTAGAAAATTAAACAAAGCCTTTGATAATCAATTAATCTAATTATAAATAATAAAATATGTTTGTTAAAATATATCATTAACCAAAAGCATTGTTATCAAGCAACGAAAATAGTTTGATTTTCAAGTGCATAGAAAAAAATGAATGTACTTTTGTGTTGCAAAACAAACCAAATATGATATTGTTTCTATTGTAAACCATTAAGAAAAACAAGGCAAGAAAAAAAATGTAAAAAATTATAGCCAACAACTCCCTATTCAAAACCATTTGAGGGAAATGATGTCGTGTTTCAAACATACTGATACATTCAACAAACTTCAATACAACTAAAAAAAGATCAAAATACAACAACAGTTTGTTCGTACTTAAGGTTTCATACAAGCATAGCATTTTATAATTTTTTTTCCTTAATTTTTAGGCTAAAGTTTTAGGAGAAATGCATATAAGTTTCTTTGACTAGTAAAAGATTTCGTTAGCCAATGTACCTCGTAATCATTAAGCTAAAACAACTTCTGCGACTATGCCACTACAAGAAATTACCTGAAACAAATGACGCATATTTCTCCTGAAACTTCTGAAGTAACAGCTTCCTTCTCTGATCAGGACAAGAGGATTCTTTATGCAAGTTTTGTATTGAGCTGTAAGACATTCCGACATTCATGATGCTGTATATTTCCTGATATCCTTCTCTTTGCTTTAGTTGCTCCTCTATTACTTCAACTCCATGAAAAGCATCAAATAAATTTAATAGATACGAACAACCAAGAAAATCATCCTCCTCGGTCACAGGGGAAACCATAATGGACTTAACAATAGAGATGAGTAGATTATCCGTTGGAGCAACATCATTTTCAGCTAACCAATGGAGGATATCTATCAAAGCTTGAAATCTAATAGAAATGGAGTGTTTTCCAGGAGGAGATTTTGCACCAGTTGTTAACTTTCTGCCATATTCTTGCTTACAGCTCAATTGAAGAAGCCATGGGAGTTCTAATGCAAAAAATGATAATACTTTCCTATTTTCTCTTAGAAGAGAATCCCAGTTAATGCCACCATCAGTTGAACACTCTTCAGCAACTCCAGAGAGGATGCTTTTGACGCGTTCAAAAAAAACCTTATCCTTATCTTCGTCTTCATTGGAAGCATTATTTATAGTTTCAGACTCATCTCTTAGGTTCACTATATCTTGTAGACTACTTACAGGAAGTGATACTATTTTTGAACCCTGAAACGAGTAATTAGGAGGACAAGTTCCTGTTGAAATCATTCGATGTTCATAATGCATAAGCATGTCAACATCTTTCCAAGTATGCAATAATTCCCCAATAGATTCCTCATCACAGTAGCTCAATGCAAAGCCTAGTAGCTGCTTCCGAGAGCCTGTATCCATAGTGTCCAAATGGGGACTCCTTGCAATTGCAGCGCATAAATCCCAAATGGGACCATGTCCTTTATTTGCTAATGCAAGGCAGAGATCAGAAGCCAGTTGCCAATCACCAGCTATTGCAGCTTCTCGGGCTATTGCCTCTTCAACTGCAGCTACATCATCTGGAGATCCAAGTCCAAGCAGCTTTGCTACCTCAAGGAGCTCCTCAACATTGAGATAAGCACCAGTTTTATTTGAAATTGCCATGTTGATAATCTCCATTGGATTTCTTATTTGCCTAAACTGAACCGGTAGAAGGGTCACGCCAAGATTTGGAAGCCTGACAGTAAGTGCTTCAATAACATCTACCTCCGACTGAACAACTTTGCTATTTGGAAAGAGACTGAGACATTCCCTAGCTTTCCATATCTGTTAAGTTCAAATTTTGCAAACGGTTACAATATGCATGAAAATGATTATGATTATGATGATGATGCTGTGATGAGGATGAAGATCATGAAGTCAAGAAGAATGATGAAGTAAAGAGTGTAAAAATAATTTTCAAAAGTTAATTGGAGTATCAAGACAACCTAAAACACATCAGAAATCATTTAACAAAAAATCAATAGTTATAGTATTTGCTTTAAAATTTTGAAGATATTATTTGAATGGAGTAAATGTGAAATATATATTAATCAGTAGTGTTTGAAATACATCTTCAATCTTTACTCAGAAAGAGTTAAATTTACGACAATGAAATGTCTTAAATTAATTGAGGATTGTAATCATGATATCATTGCATACTTGCCAATAGCAAACAGTGCAATATTGTTCAAAGTGCATTTATTTAAACATAGCATATCATGCAATGAATAATCTTCTCTTTGTCAATTTAACATAAAAATAAATGCCACAAAATTGTTATCACTTTCATTTTTATGATTGGATATTTTATTACAATTTGAACAAAATTCAATATTCTAATTGAGTGCTTATAGCCGTAACTAATGACATAAATAAGACTTGTAAATAAAGAAAAACAATTGAGCTTAAGAAACCTATCTCAACTAAGCCTAAACATATGCTCACAATGTAATATAAGTAAAAGGTAACAACCAACAAAATAATCATAGTAGAAAAAACATTTGATTAAGAAAATAATAAACACCAAATTGTTTTAGCAAAATTTTACAATAAATTCAATCAAAAGTGAAGCAATGGTCAAATAAAATTACTAAGTTGATATGCCTTCTCCTTCATCGAAGACATGGAAGCCTTAAGATGAAAGCAGTGCATCAAAGAAAAGATCTCTCGAAAGGGAGATCGAAAGACCTAATAAAACGTGCAATGAAGCAAAGGCCATGAAATCAAAGGTGTTAAGAGCTGTAGTTGCATGAAACGTAAGGTGTTAAAACTGAAGTTGATGAGACGTAAAGTTCAAAGGTGTCAACATCGTGTAAGATCAAGAGTCTCCAATGCATCAACAAAGGTGATTCGAGAGATGGAAAGTCAAAGGAAAGCCATGCATCAAGTGAGACCTCTAATGAACCAAGTAGAGCAATCCAACATTGAGTAGTGTTTCAACAGGAGATTGAGCACTGCTCATGTTTGAAGACGAAAGAGTGGAAGTGGCTCAAGCACAAGTGAACAGGAAATGTCAAATACATAGAGCTTGGCACTAGGCCCTATTAGATAAATCAAAATATAATAAAGCAAGCTAAAAAATATATAATTAATATTAATATTTATTTTAAATCCTAAATCATACAAATTAAACTAATGTCCGTCTTAAGGACTCTACATCATACGTTATTGCCAATATATGATAATGATTCAGATAGGGGCAACAAGAACAAAGTTGTATCTAGGCAATAATTGCAATAATTGACAAATAGCAAGGAATTTCGCCTTTTAAACAAACAGATTAAATTAAAAAGGGCATGGTAATATTTGAAAAAGGTAGTCATATTACATATGTCAAACATAAAGGTATCAAATAGAGATGATAGACTCGCATCTAATCGCGAAAAAAATATTTATGAAGGTTTAAACCCAAAGCTATATTTCATTATCACACTTCATCCACAACTGAGGTCCAATCTAGGAAAGATTATACAAGTGCTAGATGATCTATGCTGATGATGTGTAATAACTAAAATTTTAATAAAAGAATAAAAGAATTATAATATTAATATGTAATAATACTAATTATAAAATAAATAATAATAATAATAATTGTAAAAAAAAAGTGCTGATAGGAAAGAAATACCTCTTGGCAGGAATTAATCGCAATCTCTGCCATTTAACTGCTGACCAGCTTAACAAACAGAAGGAGGAGGACGAGTAAGCGAGAGAATAAAAATTAGAGAAAGGAGGAGGTTAGTTTACAGCCCTCAATTTTTGAATGGTCTGTCAGAGAAGATGAAGAGGAACAAAGGGTTGTGTATGTCTCTTACCTGTTTCGACATCACCCTGGCCGCTCATGTGTATAGGAAGGAGGAAGCGGCATTGTCGAGGGCTTGCAGTCTTGATGAGCTGCAACTGAAACCAGGAAGAACAAGAAGAGGAGCAGCATGCGTACACTGTTGGATCGAGCCAAGGCTGAAGGAGTAGGAAGAAAGCACTCTTTGGCGCTGTGCTCGCATAGAAGAAGAAGAAGAAGAAGAAGAAGAAGAAATAAGGTGGAAGAAGAAACCTTCCGCATGAAGGAGGCAACGAGTATTTGCAGGTCGAGTCGAGACCGAAGAGGAGGAAGAAGGGTTGTCGTGTCATCTTCACATGTAGAGGAGGGAGGAGGTGGCTTTGGCGTTGTAGAGTCGCGATCAAAAGCGTAGAGATAGAGGAGGAACGAGCGGTTCTATTGAGAAAGGAAGAAGCTCTCACGGTCTCGAGCGTAAAATTAGGGTTGTCGAGCAGTGCGAGAGAGAAGAGGAAGAAGAGGAATCACATGCTCTGGATCTAGTCAAGACTGAAGGAAGGCAAAAAGCATTTTGTACGTGAGTTGGGGCAGCTAACCGAGAACTTATAAGGTAAGAGTTTTTTTAAGTAATTAATAATTTATGTATCTTAAAAAAATGTGTTTAATAATAATATTAATGGAAATTCTTATTGAAATCAGGACTCAAACAAATAGTGAATTCATATTCAAATGAGAAGTTGGAGGAGCGTGTGAGTGAAGGTGGAGATTGATCCGAGCAATCTAAGGTAAATATCAATGTACATTTTTATTAGAATAAATAATAAAATTATTTAAACTAATGTTATCAAATTTGATGTAATCAGAAAGGGTGTAGAAGGCTGATAAATTCTCATATTTTTTAGGAAAGCTAAGAATCTTCAAGTCATAAGAGGTTAGGCTTTTAGTCATTCTTACATATTTAAATAAGTTAACTACATTTAAGTTTTTCTTTTAGAATGAAATTTTTGTAATTATATGCCCAATTAATTGGTTTAGGTGATAGTAAGCAAAGTGAAAGGTTAAGTATTTCAAAAATCTCTTAAGTCAAAGGTAAGTAATTATTTTATTTTTCGCATTAAATTAATGTTATTTTAAATGAATAATTATTTTATTAAATAGTTTAGAACAAGTATTTCATTCATGTCTTTCATTTTGATAGTCTAAATTGATATCACAAATGGAAAAAATAATAATGGAGATATAAAGATGCATTTTAAATGATTTTAAATCATATGAAATGAAATATAAATGTTTAAATCATACAAGATTACCCTCAGATGGTACTGAAAGTGAATGCAATATACCCATGCACATTAAAGAAAATGATAAATTTGTACTTTCGGGTACAATTTGAAGGTAACTTCAGATAAAATTTTGAGGGCGTCTCCGGACATATTTTTAAGAATAACTTCAAGTATGACGGTAATCTTGTGATAACTATTAAAAGAGATTTAAATGATAAATACTTAAAGTGAAACCGAAAATGATAAAGTTAAAGTGAAAATTTAAAGTTTTATAAAAAAATGAGCTGCATTTTGTTTTGATCATTCATGCATAGCATTAGCAAACCTAATTTAATGCATATTAGATCACAATTACTCATTAAGTCGTACTTACGGTTGCAATTAATATTTTCTTTCAGGAGAAGAAAAGTTTTAGGTTGATATGTTTGGTATGAGAGACTTGGTTTACAGAAGAAGGGAGCTGATAGATACCAATTTATGCGGTGTTTGATTGTTTATTTGTATAGTTGCTTTCAAATAGTGATTCACTGGTTATGGTTTGAGACATGGTCTTTAGAATATTATTGTTGTTTCTGGATATTTTAAATTTTATTGCACTTTATGGAATAGTGGCCCTTTTATATATATTGGAAGTATATGAAAACTTTTTATATAAAGTCAAATCAAATGTTAATACCGTCCGACCGCAAGCCCGCCTTAATTAATTCTAAGCATTGGGGGGTGGTGACATTATGTGTTCAATTCTAACAACTAAGAGAACTACTGATGCAAAATACACATTAAAGATCATTGATACATCTTTTTATTTTATCAGTATTTAATATTCTGAATTATTGTTATTTTACATTAATCGCATATCAGTTTAAATATTTGATTAATTAGTTGGCTGCTAGTAGAATATACAGATGGTTCATGGCACTTTTGATAGCTTTTGGTTAATCTCCAAAAAAAAAAATTAGTTCTTTGGTAAATAGATTGCCTTTATGTTTATTCTCTGCTCTATTTGTCCAGTTTTTGTTAACTTCTTGCATACAACTTTCCACCAAGCTGCTATTGGAGACGTAATGATGGATAACGGAAAACAACTGACGGCCAACAATGATCATCATTGGGAAGCAATCAAAGAATCTCAGACCAATCTAACATTGCGATTAGAGAAACTCTTGCTAGATTTTTCAGAAATCGTGATATCAGTATGGTGAATGTCCATTTTGACAACCACACTAGCAATTAGTAAATCCATCGCAGTGAATCAGAAGCTAAGATAAAGCCAACACCTCGATTCACCTATGTGATCTGAGTTTCTTTTATCCAATGAGGATCGAATTCCCCATCTATACAATTTTTATTCATATTACGATTCAATTGATGATCCCCTTTGTCTTGAAAATACCCATATTTGTGGCAGCAGCAAAACTAAAATTATAGTGATTTCAAGGTTAAACTCAACATTCCATTTTTTGATAGTCACTTCTACATGGAGGACCATCTAGATTAAAAATTGGCAATTGAGTCGTTCTTCGACTATATAGAACTCCTCTTGAAAAGTAGGTACTTGCAAATTAAAGGATGGAGCTAAGCATTGTGGCTCCAATTGACGCAAACTACCCGTCATATGGGACGTCTTCGATGTGTAACTGGCAACGAATGAAACAGATACTATGTCAAAATTTTCTTCCCTTTGATTTCAAGCAAATATCATCACTACAATATCAACAATGTTCACA